CAAACCCTAAACCCAAAACCGTAAACCCTAAACCAGGCCTGGATGCGCTTCTTGGAGGTGCCAAGGCAGCAGGGCAGGCACGCACGTCGGATCTGTGTGGCAGCCACCAAACAAGGAGTAGCTTGCCGCCGGGAAATCACGCTTGTCCGGTGCATGGTGGAGTTGCAACCATAGGATTACCCAAGCCACAGCTGTTGTGAGTATTACCATCCCAGCATCCTCGTGCCTTTTGAATCAGTGGCTGCTATTTGGCCCTGCCTGTCGCCAGTCGCTTGTCCCTGTCTCTTAGCCCGACTGGTCCTGCACAAGTCTGAATCCCAATACGCTAGACAAATACGGAACTCCCAAGGCCAAGGAATCCCAAGAGGGTTTAGGGTTTATGGTTTAGGGACTCAAGATTTCGTTCTTGAGCCCTGCGTGCCCATTTGCAGTGCCCTGGGATTTCAAACTCTGAGCCCGCAGGCGCTGACTCCTTCAATCCAAAGGCCTACTTGGAGGTTCATGGGACTTAGTAAGTACAGTTATAAGTAGTCCCTTTAAAGGGCTACTGTAATGGTCTAGGGTTTCCGAAACTTAGGGGTACCTTATTTTGGGGGTCCTTACTATAAGGATCCTGCTATTTTGGGGTACTATATTAGGGTTCCCTATTTTCGGAAACTCCCATATGTCGGTTCTCTTGCGGGGGCACCGATAGAGCGAGGATTCTTTGAGGGTTATCGTAGCCACGGCGACGGTGAAACTTATGGTGGTGACTGATCATGTGTAACTCTGGTGATTACCGTGGTGATATAGCTCATGGCGACAGTGTGATGGTGCGGGTGCTCTTCATGGCGAGCGTCGTGACAATGAAGATGGTGTTCGTCGTGGTAGTGACACTTCCGGGAAGCTCGCAAGCCTCTTTTTGATAGTCGTCGTCATAGACACAGTAGCAGATGATGTCCAAGGAGGATGCGGGGCAATGTTCCGTGGGGTCGCCCTAGCTTTCTGCATCAAGCTCTAAAGCCTTGATTGCATCGCAGGGCTTCATGCCCACATAGGTTGCCTTTGTCGTCATCTTTCCTGCACCCTAAACCCTAAACCCTAAACCCTAAACCCTAAACCCTAAACCCTAAACCCTAAACCCTAAACCCTAAACCTTAAACCCCTAAACCCTAAACCCTTAACCCTAAACCCTAAACCCTTCACCCTCAGTTTGCGATCCTTTTAGGTCGGCCTTTCATGGTGGAGGTCGAGGCTCTAGAGGCCATCTGATCCGAGGGTTTTTAGGGTTTAGGGTTTAGGGTTTAGGGGTTTAGGATTTAGGGTTTAGGGTTTAGGGGTTTAGGGTTTAGGGTTTAGGGTTTAGGAGGCTGGGGCATTAAGATCAGAGAGTTACTAGTGGTAACTGCAGCAAGGCAAGTTTGTCTTTGGACTTCGCAATGACGGTGCCAGCAAGAATCGTAGCAACAGCGATCCAGATTTCCGAAGCCCTAAAACCTAAACCCCAAACCCTACACCCTAAACTGTGAATTCAGGGTATGGAGCTGACGCATCTGACGCCGCTCTGACTCTCCTAAGACGTCCGTCATGTACGCTGTTACTGCTCGGAGCTGCAAGCGCAACGGCTGCAGAACTTTTGCATAACCATGTCTGAACTCCTTTGATACGGTCGTGATGTGTCGGCTGATGCTGCCTGAACTATGGCTTCCGCATTGTCTTTGAGCGCAAAGGTGCTGTTTCCTCGTCGCGATTGTGATTGTCATATGTGGATGCATGCTTTTCTAGTTCTTGGCAATGTGTTGACCTTCGGCAGTCTCTGGAAGCTGTAGCCTCCGTGACTGAAAGTATGCTTGCGACTTCTACTACCCCTGCTTGCCAGTACCTCTTTTCCACTCGACCAGGAGACCGCACAGATGACACCCTAAACCCTAAACCCCAATTCCTAAACCCTAAAAGTCAAAGCCACTTCGCCCCCCCTGGTAGGAGGCCCCCGGCTCCTCCGCCACGGCGGAGCAGCGCCTGGCCTCTGAAGCCGGGGAAATCCACGCTGGGGGTCATTCTTGGGGCTTTCTTGCGCTTAGGTCTCAGAGTTCAATGTTGAGGAAGGTTGAAGGCTTGTGGAGACTTTGGGGTATCATAGACTGCTTCTCCCAATTGGAGCCACTATTTTCATGCGTTATAAAAAAGAGCTGCCTTGGGCAGGCTCTATGTACACCTGGCATGGGACGCGCCGCGGCCCCGGCAGCACTTCCGGATGCCGTGGTCCGCGAGAAGTTTTCCACTGGTTTTCTTTTAGCTTGCAGGTGAAAGCAGTCACCAGAGCAGTCCGCCGCCGCACAGCTGAGCTGGGAGGTCGCCCGTGAAGCTACTTTGGTGTGGTGACGGCGTAGGTTCATGGAGTTCATGGTCTAGACCCTAGAACGGCGGCGAAGTTGCGTGGAGGCAACCAGGCCTGGAGGAACTTTGCACCTGCCAAACAGGTCTTCGGCACGTGGATGCCGCGGCCCTGGATGTCCACAGATTTGGGGCTTTGCATCTTTTTTTTGCACTTTCTGGGAGAGGGGCATGGCCGTGCATGCCCCTGCCGTTCCGATAGAGCTTTGTGCTGAGTGGCCTGAGTCCAAATCCCTCCTTCTCACACCGGTGAAGCGACTGGAATTGTATCGTCTGATCTTATGCTATCTTCCAAGAACTTTCCCCGATATGCAAAAAACAAGCTACTCAAACCCCACACCCCCTAATCATCATTTTCGGCTTCCTTCGTTTCCAATCGTCAAGTCACGTCACGTCCCCCTGGGCTGGCGACATTCTGATGTTCCAAGACCACTCAGCACGTAGAAACCTGGAAGCCCACATCCCCATCTCACGACCTTCGGACAGTTCAAACAGGTCGCAGCAGCTACAAGAGTTCCAGGGTCCTGCCCAAACCCGCACCCCCCGCCACCCCGTGACCTTCCGTTCCTTCTCGTCCCTTTGGAGGCTCCTGAGCCGCTTGGCCTTAGCCGAAGCCGAGCGTGAGAGGCTGGCGCAGTGCTGGGCGCCGAAGGCCCGGTGCCCGAAGGGTTGTGTCGGCTTGTTGAAAAGAGGTTGTCAGGAGGGGGTTCTAGAGAATACTTTCGGTTTCAAAGTGTGTCTTGAGTTCGGAGTTGGGGGGTTTGGGGCATGGGGTTTTAAGGGCTGTGGGGGTTTCAGGTTAGGGACTTCGCGGGAAGTTGTCTTGGATGTTGGGAGTGTCTGCGGGGCTTCCTGGAAGTTGCAATGGTCATCGTAATCGTCGAATTAGGGTTGAGGGTTCAGGGTCAAAGCGGTCAAGGGTTCAGGGGCGTAGTGTCTCCTGAAATTGAAGGTCTAGTCTTTGGAAGCTCACAGCTGCAAGCCATGATGGCCGGCAACTCTTTGCAAAAGCTTCGCTGTTCAGCAGCGCGATGTTGGCCGTCCTTCCCTTTCTGCCAAGAGCGACTGCCGAGTGTGCCCCTGCTTCGTGAGGCCTGGACCTCCGAAACGATTGCCCTGAGGCATGGAGGGCCGGGATGGGTAACTCAAACCTGAGGCCTCAGCTTGTGCAAGGACCCAGCAGCGATGTCGGCAGCCCTGAACCTGGCTCAGTCGAGCTTCGTGAGTTGTAGCCAAATCCAATTTGTATCTCCGCAATCCCATATCCATGGTTTCCAAACTCGCCGGCCGCGCGGTGCTGCTCCTCTTGTGCCTGGTCGTCGGCGATGCGGTTCGCCAAACAAGACTGCAGAAAGGTGACGTCGTCAGTGCAGCCCAGTATGAGAAGCAAGAGCACGAGCAAGCGGGCGACGAGCATGTCGAGGAAGGGCATGGCGAGGAGGTTGCTGACTCCAAGCTAGAATGGGGCACACCGGGATGCGGCTCAACTTATCAGTGTGCTTCTGGCTGCTCGTGTATTGGCGGAACGTGTCACTGTCCTCCTCGCTAGGCTTCGCAACCATGCTGACACAGCAGTTCGCTGCTCTGGGGCAGCTGTACTCACAATCGCAGCCCTCTTGCAGAAAAGAAAAGAGTGGCACCGATTCGCTGGCACCTGGATGTTCTGCGTACGCGTCTGGTTGCACGTGCTACTGCTAGAGTGCGCAAGGGAACCGTGCTTGATTGCTCCGGCTCTTGAGCGGAAGAATGCTGCTGTTTCTTGCGCTGTTGCTACGGCTGCACCAGCACCGGCACACAGTGTCCCTGACAGGCTCACACCTCTGTTGAAGATGGCTTCGTCTACACCGTAGGGAGCCTAGAAGCTTGTCATCTTTGCCTGTGCAGATGCAGTCAATGTAGTCTTCATGCACACCCTCTCTATGTCTCTACGTCTCTTTCTCCCTTGGCTCCTGAGCTGCTTGGCCTTAGCCGAAGCCGAGCGTGAGAGGCTGGCGCAGTGCTGGGCGCCGAAGGCCCGGTGCCCGAAGGGTTGTGTCGGCTTGTTGAAAAGAGGTTGTCAGGAGGGGGTTCTAGAGAATACTTTCGGTTTCAAAGTGTGTCTTGAGTTCGGAGTTGGGGGGTTTGGGGCATGGGGTTTTAAGGGCTGTGGGGGTTTCAGGTTAGGGACTTCGCGGGAAGTTGTCTTGGATGTTGGGAGTGTCTGCGGGGCTTCTTGGAGGTTGCAATGGTCATCGTAATCGTCGAATCAGGGTTGAGGGTTCAGGGTCAAAGCGGTCAAGGGTTCAGGGGCGTAGTGTCTCCTGAAATTGAAGGTCTAGGCTTTGGAAGCTCACAGCTGCAAGCCATGATGGCCGGCAACTCTTTGCAAAAGCTTCGCTGTTCAGCAGCGCGATGTTGGCCGTCCTTCCCTTTCTGCAAAGAGCGACTGCCGAGTGTGCCCCTGCTTCGTGAGGCCTGGACCTCCGAAACGATTGCCCTGAGGCATGGAGGGCCGGGATGGGTAACTCAAACCTGAGGCCTCAGCTTGTGCAAGGACCCAGCAGCGATGTCGGCAGCCCTGAACCTGGCTCAGTCGAGCTTCGTGAGCTGTAGCCAAATCCAATTTGTATCTCCGCAATCCCATATCCATGGTTTCCAAACTCGCCGGCCGCGCGGTGCTGCTCCTCTTGTGCCTGGTCGTCGGCGATGCGGTTCGCCAAGCAAGACTGCAGAAAGGTGACGTCGTCAGTGCAGCCCAGTATGAGAAGCAAGAGCACGAGCAAGCGGGCGACGAGCATGTCGAGGAAGGGCATGGCGAGGAGGTTGCTGACTCCAAGCTAGAATGGGGCACACCGGGATGCGGCTCAACTTATCAGTGTGCTTCTGGCTGCTCGTGTATTGGCGGAACGTGTCACTGTCCTCCTCGCTAGGCTTCGCAACCATGCTGACACAGCAGTTCGCTGCTTTGAGGCAGCTGTACTCACAATCGCAGCACTCTTGCAGAAAAGAAAAGAGTGGCACCGATTCGCTGGCACCTCGATGTTCTGCCGGCACACAGTGTCCCTGACAGGCTCACACCTCTGGTGAAGATGACTTCGTCTACACCGTAGGGAGCCTAGAAGCTTGTCATCTTTGCCTGTGCAGATGTAGTCAATGTAGTCTTCATGCACACCCTCTCTATGTCTCTACGTCTCTTTCTCCCTTGGCTCCTGAGCTGCTTGGCCTTAGCCGAAGCCGAGCGTGAGAGGCTGGCGCAGTGCTGGGCGCCGAAGGCAGTTCGGAGTTGGGGGGTTTGGGGCATGGGGTTTTAAGGGCTGTGCGGTTTCAGGTTAGGGACTTCGCGGGAAGTTGTCTTGGATGTTGGGAGTGTCTGCGGGGCTTCTTGGAGGTTGCAATGGTCATCGTAATCGTCGAATCAGGGTTGAGGGTTCAGGGTCAAAGCGGTCAAGGGTTCAGGGGCGTAGTGTCTCCTGAAATTGAAGGTCTAGGCTTTGGAAGCTCACAGCTGCAAGCCATGATGGCCGGCAACTCTTTGCAAAAGCTTCGCTGTTCAGCAGCGCGATGTTGGCCGTCCTTCCCTTTCTGCAAAGAGCGACTGCCGAGTGTGCCCCTGCTTCGTGAGGCCTGGACCTCCGAAACGATTGCCCTGAGGCATGGAGGGCCGGGATGGGTAACTCAAACCTGAGGCCTCAGCTTGTGCAAGGACCCAGCAGCGATGTCGGCAGCCCTGAACCTGGCTCAGTCGAGCTTCGTGAGCTGTAGCCAAATCCAATTTGTATCTCCGCAATCCCATATCCATGGTTTCCAAACTCGCCGGCCGCGCGGTGCTGCTCCTCTTGTGCCTGGTCGTCGGCGACGCGGTTCGCCAAACAAGACTGCAGAAGAGTGACGTCGTCAGTGCAGCCCAGGAGTATGAGAAGCAAGAGCACGAGCAAGCGGGCTACGAGCATGTCGAGGAAGGGCATGGCGAGGAGGTTGCTGACTCTAAGCTAGAATGGGGCACACCGGGATGCGGCTCAACTTATCAGTGTGCTTCTGGCTGCTCGTGTATTGGCGGGACGTGTCACTGTCCTCCTCGCTAGGCTTCGCAACCATGCTGACACAGCAGTTCGCTGCTCTGAGGCAGCTGTACTCACAATCGCAGCCCTCTTGCAGAAAAGAAAAGAGTGGCACCGATTCGCTGGCACCTCGATGTTTTGCGTACGCGTCTGGTTGCACGTGCTACTGCTAGAGTGCGCGAGGGAACCGTGCTTGATTGCTCCGGCTCTTGAGCGGTGGGATGCTGCGGTTTCTTGAGCTGTTGCTGCGGCAGGTGCCTGTACCAGCAGCGGCACACAGTGTCTCTGACAGGCTCACACCTCTGTTGAAGATGGCTTCGTCTACACCGTAGGGAGCCTAGAAGCTTGTCATCTTGGCCTGTGCAGCTGTAGTCAATGTAGTCTTCATGCACACCCTCTCTATGTCTCTGCGTCTCTTTCTCCCTTGGCTCCTGAGCTGCTTGGCCTTAGCCGAAGCCGAGCGTGAGAGGCTGGCGCAGTGCTGGGCGCCGAAGTCCCAGTGCCCGAAGGGTTGTGTCGGCTTGTTGAAAAGGGGTTGTCAGGAGGGGCTTCTAGAGAATACTTTCGGTTTCAAAGTGTGTCTTGAGTTCGGAGTTGGGGGGTTTGGGGCATGGGGTTTTAAGGGCTGTGGGGGTTTCAGGTTAGGGACTTCGCGGGAAGTTGTCTTGGATGTTGGGGGGGTCTGCGGGGCTTCTTGGAGGTTGCAATGGTCATCGTAATCGTCGAAGCAGGGTTGAGGGTTCAGGGTCAAAGCGGTCAAGGGTTCAGGGGCGTAGCATCTCCTGAAATTGAGGTCTAGGTTTTGGAAGCTCACAGCTGCAAGCCATGATGGCCGGCAACTCTTTGCAAAAGCTTCGCTGTTCAGCAGCGCGATGTTGGCCGTCCTTCCCTTTCTGCAAAGAGCCACTGCCGAGTGTGCCCCTGCTTCGTGAGGCCTGGACCTCCGAAACGATTGCCCTGAGGCATGGAGGGCCGGGATGGGTAACTCAAACCTGAGGCCTCAGCTTGTGCAAGGACCCAGCAGCGATGTCGGCAGCCCTGAACCTGGCTCAGTCGAGCTTCGTGAGTTGTAGCCAAATCCAATTTGTATCTCCGCAATCCCATATCCATGGTTTCCAAACTCGCCGGCCGCGCGGTGCTGCTCCTCTTGTGCCTGGTCGTCGGCGACGCGGTTCGCCAAACAAGACTGCAGAAGAGTGACGTCGTCAGTGCAGCCCAGGAGTATGAGAAGCAAGAGCACGAGCAAGCGGGCTACGAGCATGTCGAGGAAGGGCATGGCGAGGAGGTTGCTGACTCCAAGCTAGAATGGGGCACACCGGGCTGCGGCTCAACTTATCAGTGCGCTTCTGGCTGCTCGTGTATTGGCGGGACGTGTCACTGTCCTCCTCGCTAGGCTTCGCAACCATGCTGACACGGCAGTTCGCTGCTTTGAGGCAGCTGTACTCACAATCGCAGCCCTCTTGCAGAAAAGAAAAGAGTGGCACCGATTCGCTGGCACCTGGATGTTCTGCGTACGCGTCTGGTTGCACGTGCTACTGCTAGAGTGCGCAAGGGAACCGTGCTACATCTTTGCCTGTGCAGATGTAGTCTTCATGCACACCCTCTCTATGTCTCTACGTCTCTTTCTCCCTCTCCCTCGCATCGATCGCGGTCTTGGTCTCCTGGCTCTGAAGACCAACAGTATGCGGGTTTGAGGATGCTGTACGCATGTTTCGTGATGCACACATCAATATGTCAGTGCGCGACCTGTTCATTCCAAGCAGTAGTGCCTGTACTAATAGTATCAAACCTGTTTTGATACGGTCATGATGTCTGTGTCACCTATCCTACCTACTGTTGCTGCTCTTTTTCCGGGGCCACTTCCATTTCGCCGAACTCGGGCCTGAGGCCTCAGCCTGTGCAAGGACCCAGCACCGATGTCGGCAGCCGTGAACCTGGCTCAGTCGAGCTTCGTGAGTTGTAGCCAAATCCAATTTGTATCTCCGCAATCCCATATCCATGGTTTCCAAACTCGCCGGCCGCGCGGTGCTGCTCCTCTTGTGCCTCGTCGTCGGCGACGCGGTTCGCCAAACAAGACTGCAGAAGAGTGACGTCGTCAGTGCAGCCCAGTATGAGAAGCAAGAGCACGAGCAAGCGGGCTACGAGCATGTCGAGGAAGGGCATGGCGAGGAGGCTGCTGACTCCAAGCTAGAATGGGGCACACCGGGCTGCGGCTCAACTTATCAGTGCGCTTCTGGCTGCTCGTGTATTGGCGGAACGTGCCACTGTCCTCCTCGCTAGGCTTCGCAACCATGCTGACACAGCAGTTCGCTGCTCTGAGGCAGCTGTACTCACAATCGCAGCCCTCTTGCAGAAAAGAAAAGAGTGGCACCGATTCGCTGGCACCTCGATGTTCTGCTTACGCGTCTGGTTGCACGTGCTACTGCTACAGTGCGCAAGGGAACCGTGCTTGATTGCTCCGGCTCTTGAGCGGAAGAATGCTGCTGTTTCTTGCGCTGTTGCTACGGCTGCACCAGCACCGGCTCACAGCGTCCCTGACAGGCTCACACCTCTGTTGAAGATGGCTTCGTCTACACCGTAGGGAGCCTAGAAGCTTGTCATCTTTGCCTGTGCAGATGTAGTCAACGTAGTCTTCATGCACACCCTCTCTATGTCTCTACGCCTCTTTCTCCCTTGGCTCCTGAGCTGCTTGGCCTTAGCCGAAGCCGAGCGTGAGAGGCTGGCGCAGTGCTGGGCGCCGAAGGCCCGGTGCCCGAGGGGTTGTGTCGGCTTGTTGAAAAGAGGTTGTCAGGAGGGGCTTCTAGAGAATACTTGCGGTTTCAAAGTGTGTCTTGAGTTCGGCGTTGGGGGGTTTGGGGCATGGGGTTTTAAGGGCTGTGGGGGTTTCAGGTTAGGGACTTCGCGGGAAGTTGTCTTGGATGTTGGGAGTGTCTGCGGGGCTTCTTGGAGGTTGCAATGGTCATCGTAATTGTTGAAATTGAAGGTCTAGGCTTTGGAAGCTCACAGCTGCAAGCCATGATGGCCGGCAACTCTTTGCAAAAGCTTCGCTGTTCAGCAGCGCGATGTTGGCCGTCCTTCCCTTTCTGCAAAGAGCGACTGCCGAGTGTGCCCCTGCTTCGTGAGGCCTGGACCTCCGAAACGATTGCCCTGAGGCATGGAGGGCCGGGATGGGTAACTCAAACCTGAGGCCTCAGCTTGTGCAAGGACCCAGCACCGATGTCGGCAGCCCTGAACCTGGCTCAGTCGAGCTTCGTGAGTTGTAGCCAAATCCAATTTGTATCTCCGCAATCCCATATCCATGGTTTCCAAACTCGCCGGCCGCGCGGTGCTGCTCCTCTTGTGCCTCGTCGTCGCCGACGCGGTTCGCCAAACAAGACTGCAGAAAGGTGACGTCGTCAGTGCAGCCCAGGAGTATGAGAAGCAAGAGCACGAGCAAGCGGGCTACGAGCATGTCGAGGAAGGGCATGGCGAGGAGGTTGCTGACTCCAAGCTAGAATGGGGCACACCGGGATGCGGCTCAACTTATCAGTGTGCTTCTGGCTGCTCGTGTGTTGGCGGGACGTGCCACTGTCCTCCTCGCTAGGCTTCGCAACCATGCTGACACAGCAGTTCGCTGCTCTGAGGCAGCTGTACTCACAATCGCAGCCCTCTTGCAGAAAAGAAAAGAGTGGCACCGATTCGCTGGCACCTCGATGTTCTGCTTACGCGTCTGGTTGCACGTGCTACTGCTACAGTGCGCAAGGGAACCGTGCTTGATTGCTCCGGCTCTTGAGCGGTGGGATGCTGCGGTTTCTTGCGCTGTTGCTACGGCAGGTGCCTGTACCCGCACCGGCACACGGTGTCCCTGACAGGCTCACACCTCTGTTGAAGATGGCTTCGTCTACACCGTAGGGAGCCTAGAAGCTTGTCATCTTTGCCTGTGCAGATGTAGTCAATGTAGTCTTCATGCACACCCTCTCTCTATGTCTCTACGTCTCTTTCTCCCTCTCCCTCGGATCGATCTCGGTCTCGGTCTCCTGGCTCTGAAGACCAACAGTATGCGGGTTTTAGGATGCTGTACGCATCTTTCGTGATGCACACATCAATATGTCAGTGCGCGACCTGTTCATTCCAAGCGGTAGTGCCTGTACTAATACTATCAAACCTGTTTTGATACGGTCATGTGTCACCTATCCTACCGTTGCTGCTCTTTTTCCGGGGCCACTTCCGTTTCGCCGAACTCGGGCCTAGCGCCTCAGCTTGTGCAAGGACCCAGCACCGATGTCGGCAGCCGTGAACCTGGCTCAGTCGAGCTTCGTGAGTTGTAGCCAAATCCAATTTGTATCTCCGCAATCCCATATCCATGGTTTCCAAACTCGCCGGCCGCGCAGTGCTGCTCCTCTTGTGCCTGGTCGTCGGCGACGCGGTTCGCCAAACAAGACTGCAGAAAGGTGACGTCGTCAGTGCAGCCCAGGAGTATGAGAAGCAAGAGCACGAGCAAGCGGGCTACGAGCATGTCGAGGAAGGGCATGGCGAGGAGGTTGCTGACTCCAAGCTAGAATGGGGCACACCGGGCTGCGGCTCAACTTATCAGTGCGCTTCTGGCTGCTCGTGTATTGGCGGGACGTGTCACTGTCCTCCTCGCTAGGCTTCGCAACCATGCTGACACAGCAGTTCGCTGCTTTGAGGCAGCTGTACTCACAATCGCAGCCCTCTTGCAGAAAAGAAAAGAGTGGCACCGATTCGCTGGCACCTGGATGTTCTGCGTACGCGTCTGGTTGCACGTGCTACTGCTAGAGTGCGCAAGGGAACCGTGCTTGATTGCTCCGGCTCTTGAGCGGAAGAATGCTGCTGTTTCTTGCGCTGTTGCTACGGCTGCACCAGCACCGGCAGACAGTGTCCCTGACAGGCTCACACCTCTGTTGAAGATGGCTTCGTCTACACCGCAGGGAGCTTTGAAGCTCGTCATCTTTGCCTGTGCAGATGTAGTCAATGTAGTCTTCATGCACACTCTCTCTTTGTCTCTACGTCTCTTTCTCCCTTGGCTCCTGAGCTGCTTGGCCTTAGCCGAAGCCGAGCGTGAGAGGCTGGCGCAGTGCTGGGCGCCGAAGGCCCGGTGCCCGAAGGGTTGTGTCGGCTTGTTGAAAAGATGTTGTCAGGAGGGGCTTCTAGAGAATACTTTCGGTTTCAAAGTGTGTCTTGAGTTCGGAGTTGGGGGGTTTGGGGCATGGGGTTTTAAGGGCTGTGGGGTTTCAGGTTAGGGACTTTGCGGGAAGTTGTCTTGGATGTTGGGAGTGTCTGCGGGGCTTCTTGGAGGTTGCAATGGTCCTCGTAATCGTCGAATCAGGGTTGAGGGTTCAGGGTCAAAGCGGTCAAGGGTTCAGGGGTGTAGTGTCTCCTGAAATTGAAGGTCTAGGCTTTGGAAGCTCACAGCTGCAAGCCATGATGGCCGGCAACTCTTTGCAAAAGCTTCGCTGTTCAGCAGCGCGATGTTGGCCGTCCTTCCCTTTCTGCAAAGAGCGACTGCCGAGTGTGCCCCTGCTTCGTGAGGCCTGGACCTCCGAAACGATTGCCCTAAGGCATGGAGGGCCGGGATGGGTAACTCAAACCTGAGGCCTCAGCTTGTGCAAGGACCCAGCAGCGATGTCGGCAGCCGTGAACCTGGCTCAGTCGAGCTTCGTGAGTTGTAGCCAAATCCAATTTGTATCTCCGCAATCCCATATCCATGGTTTCCAAACTCGCCGGCCGCGCGGTGCTGCTCCTCTTGTGCTTGGTCATCGGCGATGCGGTTCGCCAAACAAGACAGCAGAAGAGTGACGTCGTCAGTGCAGCCCAGGAGTATGAGAAGCAAGAGCACGAGCAAGCGGGCTACGAGCATGTCGAGGAAGGGCATGGCGAGGAGGTTGCTGACTCCAAGCTAGAATGGGGCACACCGGGCTGCGGCTCAACTTATCAGTGCGCTTCTGGCTGCTCGTGTATTGGCGGGACGTGTCACTGTCCTCCTCGCTAGGCTTTCAACCATGCTGACACAGCACTTCGCTGCTCTGAGGCAGCTGTACTCACAATCGCAGCCCTCTTGCAGAAAAGAAAAGAGTGGCACCGAGTCGCTGGCACCTCGATGTTCTGCGTACGCGTCTGGTTGCACGTGCTGCTACTGCTAGAGTGCGCAAGGGAACCGTGCTTGATTGCTCCGGCTCTTGAGCGAAAGAATGCTGCTGTTTCTTGAGCTGTTGCTGCGGCAGGTGCCTGTACCAGCAGCGGCACACAGTGTCCCCGACAGGCTCACACCTCTGGTGAAGATGGCTTCGTCTACACCGTAGGGAGCCTAGAAGCTTGTCATCTTTGCCTGTGCAGATGTAGTCAATGTAGTCTTCATGCACACCCTCTCTATGTCTCTACGTCTCTGTCTCCCTTGGCTCCTGAGCTGCTTGGCCTTAGCCGAAGCCGAGCGTGAGAGGCTGGCGCAGTGCTGGGCGCCGAAGTCCGGGTGCCCGAAGGGTTGTGTCGGCTTGTTGAAAAGAGGTTGTCAGGCTTCTAGAGAATACTTTCGGTTTCAAGGTGTGTCTTGAGTTCGGAGTTGGGGGGTTTGGGGCATGGGGTTTCAAGGGCTGTGGGGTTTCAGGTTAGGGACTTCGCGGGAAGTTGTCTTGGATGTTGGGAGTGTCTGCGGGGCTTCTTGGAGGTTGCAATGGTCATCGTAATCGTCGAATCAGGGTTGAGGGTTCAGGGTCAAAGCGGTCAAGGGTTCAGGGGCGTAGTGTCTCCTGAAATTGAAGGTCTAGGCTTTGGAAGCTCACAGCTGCAAGCCATGATGGCCGGCAACTCTTTGCAAAAGCTTCGCTGTTCAGCAGCGCGATGTTGGCCGTCCTTTCCTTTCTGCAAAGAGCGACTGCCGAGTGTGCCCCTGCTTCGTGAGGCCTGGACCTCCGAAACGATTGCCCTGAGGCATGGAGGGCCGGGATGGGTAACTCAAACCTGAGGCCTCAGCTTGTGCAAGGACCCAGCAGCGATGTCGGCAGCCGTGAACCTGGCTCAGTCGAGCTTCGTGAGTTGTAGCCAAATCCAATTTGTATCTCCGCAATCCCATATCCATGGTTTCCAAACTCGCCGGCCGCGCGGTGCTGCTCCTCTTGTGCTTGGTCATCGGCGATGCGGTTCGCCAAACAAGACAGCAGAAGAGTGACGTCGTCAGTGCAGCCCAGGAGTATGAGAAGCAAGAGCACGAGCAAGCGGGCTACGAGCATGTCGAGGAAGGGCATGGCGAGGAGGTTGCTGACTCCAAGCTAGAATGGGGCACACCGGGCTGCGGCTCAACTTATCAGTGTGCTTCTGGCTGCTCGTGTATTGGCGGGACGTGTCACTGTCCTCCTCGCTAGGCTTCGCAACCATGCTGACACAGCAGTTCGCTGCTCTGAGGCAGCTGTACTCACAATCGCAGCCCTCTTGCAGAAAAGAAAAGAGTGGCACCGATTCGCTGGCACCTCGATGTTCTGCTTACGCGTCTGGTTGCACGTGCTACTGCTACAGTGCGCAAGGGAACCGTGCTTGATTGCTCCGGCTCTTGAGCGGAAGAATGCTGCTGTTTCTTGCGCTGTTGCTACG